TTGCCTTGTAATGTTGTTGCAGTGGTTGTGAAGTTGTTGCCTCCCGTGGGTGTTGCTGCTGTAGTGCTGTTGCCTTCTAAGGCCGTGGATGTTGCACCTGTACTATTGCTCTGTAATGTGGTTACTGCAGTTGTTGTGCTGTTGTAAGTGTTCAGTGTTGATGAGGCCACTTGTGTTGTCTCACTGACAGTACTTGCAGGTGCAGTTTGTGGGGAGGTCGGTGTGGCAGTAGTTTCTGGAGGGTTTGGAGGCACGCAGTTCTCCAGCTTGGTGCTGAAAACCTGCTTGAGCTGAGGAAAAGAGCATATGATTTGCTGACAGGATTTAAGCATTACATCTGGTGTTTTAATAAGCCTGCTGTCGTACATGTTACATACCCAGGCAATGATTTCAGATTCGTTCTTGCTCTGTCCAGTGACATCCACCGTAATGTCAACAAAGTAGTATACTGCATTACAAAGCAAAGAGAATCATTGGCAAAAGTTGCTAAACTCTATAACGGAGGACAACATACCAGCTGCTTGTAACAAAGAGGCAATCTAAGGGCTGAGAAAGGGAGCCAAAAATAGAAATACCAAAAATGAAGTGACTCACAGTCACCTGATGTGTTGCAACTGAAGCTGGCTGCTCATTTTAAATGTCAAACTATATTTAATTTCCATGGCAAATATTGTGCTCTGTGGTAATTTTAACAGGGGTGGAGTTTTAGATAGTTAGCTTGTTTGTGTTGTTCTTGCCATTTGGAGCACTTTTGTTCTGTTACATTCCAAATTATATGGCTTTCATGGTGGTTAATGTTAACAGGCCATTCAAAAATGTGCCCCAGTTTTGAGAATTTTTTGTATTTTTATTTAGCCTAATTTACTTAAATACTATTACCTGTACAAGTCAACTACAGTGGGGGAAATAATTATTTGATCACCTGCTGGAAGTGGAAGTGCTCACTTCCAAAAAAATGAACAGCCTCTAATTTTCAAATAAATAAATAAATTTAAAAATAACATAAAAGTTATGAATTCATTTGTATGTCATTTAGAGAAATAAACATTATTTCTACCCAACCAGAAATCCGGCTCCCGCAGACTGACTGCGTTCCCATGTGATACACAGATTTCAATACATCGATCAATCAAGAGCAGATTCACCTGCTCTCAATTCATTATGTGTATAAAGCACACAGAATCAGTTTCTTTCATTTAAACCTCTCCGCCATCATGAGCACAACCAAAGAACGGTCAAAGGATGTCAGGGACAAGATTGTAGACCTACATGATCATCCTGGGGGAGGAGAAGCCTTGGGAGAAAGTGCTGTGGTCAGATGAAGCCAAAAGGGAAGAGAAATGCTGAGTATGACCCAAAGAAAATCTCCCCACAGTCAAGCACGGAGGTGGAAACATCATGCTTTGGGCTAGGTACAGGGGACTTCGCTGCATTGAGCGGCTATTGACAGGGTCATGTACCATAAAACCTAGGATGAGAACCTTCTTCCCTGAGCCAGAATACTGAAGACGGGTCATGGATGGAACTTCCAACATGACAGTGGCTTAAAATATGCTGCAGAGGAACAAAGGTGTGGCTAAAGAAGCATATTAAGGTCATGGAGTGGCATAGCTGGGCTCCACACCCTCGGGCTGCGCCATCTCCTACACACCTGCATCCCATTCGAGACAATCGCCGGGGGACTACTTCACCCGGCGCAGATGGCTGCTCCTCACCAGTCCGTTAGTCACCCCTCGGTGGTAACTAGGCTCTTCGTAAGTTCTGTATTTACTGGAGAACTTTGGAATTCATCTTCATCTTGTGTCTATGTACTTAGGGAACGACGTTCGGCGCTGGAATCCTGCCACCTGCCTGTCCCCATGCCTGTTCGCCTCCCATCCTCGGTCCTGCCTCCTCAGACTCCCTCCATGGACTCTTCCCCCTCTGAGTTTCACGGTCCGGCTCTAATCATAAGCCCTGACATTTAACTTTTTCTAGCTGTTACGTGCCATTCCTCAGTACTCTAGTAATTGTTTTTCTCCTCTCTGTTGCAGTTTTCCCTCAGTCAAGATTACGGGCGCTCCAGGGTTTTCTGTTCCCAGTTTTTCCTTGGCTTGAGTTTGTAGTTTTGGTTCCCTTGTTTTCATCAAGTTGCTTTGTTTATTAATAAACCTGTTGATAGTTCTGAGTGGCTGCACATTAATCTGCTACCGGGGTCCTTATCGTAAGTGTACACTGAGGTTCTTGACAGTGTGAGTTTTCCCCTGACCTTTGTCGTCGCATCTGCTTTACCCCCGGGGCTCTTCTGTGTTCTGTTTCCCCAGTTCAGGCGTACCTCTGTTTGTTATTTGCTTTCCCCCCGTTTGGTGTATCTGCCTTAATAAATGGCACACTTTTAGTTAATTCCCATTTTCATCTCACTGTGGTCTGCATATGGGTCCTCACATAAAAGAATCCACGCAATCTGCCTCCGCATATCGTGCGGAGTCGCCCCAAATCCTTCCTGAGGTGTGTGCAAACCTTGTGACCAGCTATCAGTAAACTTGTTATCTCTGTGCTTGTTTCTCAACCAAATACTAAGTCAACCAAGTATTAAAGTTTTGCTTGAAGATCAAACACTTATATCACTGAGTGACATACAAATCAGTAACACAGATTAAACAAACGTTTTTCTTACAAAGCCAAGGGGTGAGCAGATTTTATCAGGGTTCATTTACCTGATATTTGTGGAGCTGTAGTAGAAACAGTAAAAGGGGAAGGAGTTGTAGTGGTCTGGTTGCAGGAGGCTTGCCCTGATTGGAAAAGAAAAAAGTTCTCAGTTACCACTGTTGGCAACTTCATGGAGAGTTTTGGGACCAAAAGCCAATTGTGTGTATTGAACACTAGACACCACGTTGATGGACATTAATATGATCCAGTTTCAGTGTAGAAAGTTTCTAATGTGGTTTTTAAATCCTACACGCTGGAAAATGGGAATTCTGAAAATTTTCAGCACATAAACTCTGTTTTTTAAAAAACAGAACACTTTAAAAATCAATGCACTTTATGGTAGTTGCACAAAGTCATTGAAATGCATTTCCATTCCCTCACTTCCTGTTCTCTGTGTGGTCTTTTTTAGTCTTCTCCATTTGTGCCTTTCTCAGAATAGCAGTACGACTAATAAACAAAACTAGACTAACTGGTTACAGTATATTATGAAAGAGTTCAAGGTATTTGTGTGCGTACTGTATGTGTGTGCGTGTGCATGCCATGCATTGCAGGTTATAATTAGAGGTTCAAAGCTGTTGATCCACTAAACAGCCGCCTCCGCTCAATTGTCTTCGTGTTTTTTCATCTCTTTTGTGTCACAGCTGATGTCAGATACCTGCTAAGAGGACAACGATGACCACCAGGTGTGTCTGCAGCAAGTGGAAACATCTGATAAGCGAGCCTGGCTTCTTCACCCTGTTAAGTTGAAGAAGTTTAAGTTTAGTAAATAAACACAGGAGGCTAAAGCTTTATTATATTTATTCTGACATATGACAGAAGAAAGAGTCAGACTGAGTCATACTAATCTAGAAAAGCCCTACCATCACACCCATGCTAACAAATGCTGAAAGGCTGTAATTAAAATGTGTCTTAAAGGTTTTATCTCCAGTTCTGGTTGTTAACAGATGAGTAATGCCAAATGAAACACTTGAACGATTTCAAGATAGTGAGCGCGGTCTAATAGAACAAATTCATTACCTTCAAAGTGCACATGATGTATGGAGTACATACACCATGAATCAATAGTTATTTTTTCATGTTCATTTGAATCTCTTATTATTAGGCAGCAAATAATTTGCATGTACAATTCTCCAAACTTTGCCTCCTATTTTTTTAAATAACAAGCAGAATAACAGTGAGTAAGTGGACTGACTGTATAACTAAATGTCTTCTTTCACATCCATGGAAAGCGTCATTGTTATTGGCACATCGGGTGCATCCTCTCCTATATTCTTATATAACCAGTAACATCAGTCCTTAAAAAATGCGTGACTACAAATACAAAATAACAACAAATAAAAAATGTAAATAATTCGATTCTGTGACTTAAAAAATGACTTTAATGTTATTTGATGCCGCATAAGGAAGTGATTTATAGATATGAGCGCATCTGTATGAACCATCTGGATTAATAATCCTGACTGAAACCAGATCCAGCTGCTGTTTCTGAGTTAAGATGTGTTTCCCTCCACATTAAGGAAAAGGAGAGACACCGCCACCAACACCACCTCCACCGCCACCATCTCGCTTTACCTGACTAAAGGAGCAGATATTTGCTGGCAAGGAAGTCTGCCTGAAGAAATCCTTGGATCCTTCATGACTCTGTCTTCATTTTTGTGGAACATAGCTTCCGATGGGCGAAGTAAAACATTCAACAACAAACATTAACAGTCATAAATCTAGCCAGTGCTCTCGGCCGTGTGCTTTGTCAATTCTCCACCACTTTCTCATGCACAATCAATAGCTGACACACGTGGCACGCCCATGAGACGTCAAGGTGAGCGGGTGGACGTCACATACATTCTCTTCAGCTCTGGCACCTTTGGTTTAACATTTCAACACCACCCAAAGAGGAAGCTGTCTGATTGTAAAACTAGACCCAAAAATAATAACACAGTCCGATCGTCTGCCTTTAAAGTTCCCTGTAGGTTTTTGGAAGGAAGAGATTTGTGTGTTTCTTTTTCTTTTTTGTTTGTCAGTACAGGTGTGCCTCAGGGTGTGTCATAAACCTGTGTTTTCAGTAATAGACACAACTGAAAGTGTTTCCAGGACAACACTGCAGGGCTCTAACATTGTGGCCCGACTGCTACGAAAAAAAAAAGAAGTCACGCACCATTACTCTGTAAGTGCCTGTTTTTCAGGACTGTGAGCAGTCTGTCAGAGTCTGTCTGTCACACACCACCACATGAGCACGCTCTCTTATTTCCTTCTCTGTTCTGCCTCTTATGCTTGCGTTTACAGTTTTTCTCAGTCCCTTTGGTGCTTTTCTCAGATCAGAATAATAATTCTCAAAACCATTAGTGCAACCTCCATAACATTTAGTCATTTCTGCACATTATGGTACCAATTTCTCCTTCCCCTGAACAAATTGCAAATGCTCTTGGACATGTATCAGTTGCTTTCATACAATTCTCTGCGGTCGACAACACTATCATTTTCTTATGTCATGTCAGTCAAAATGAACTATACCTTTGGATGCTGAAAGACTATTAGTTCCCAATAAAACTAATAGTCGTCATTTCATTGCTTGAGTCATTACATACAAAATTGGTGAAATGCTGTCAAGCAAATTTTATACCTTTTTTAAATGATTTTTTTCCTGAAAATGTCCCTGAAATTGAACAATTTCTCTCAGGTGAACTTCAGCTCTCACTGATGAGGAGGTGTGTGAAGTATTAGTTGTAACCACTGACAAGCCTCTTGTTCACAGTCACTCATGGATTAATCCCATGAACCCTCAATTGGCAAGCAAATATGAACCGAGCAGGACATAGTTTGTACCATCCATTCACATCCGCTTATCCTTTTCAGGGTCGCGGGGGGTGCTGGAGTCTATCCCAGCTGTCATGGGGCGAGAGGCGGGGTACACCCTGGACAGGTCGCCCGTCTGTCGCAGGGCCAACACACAGGGACAGACAACCATTTGCACTCACATTCGCTCGCACATTCACACCCATGGGCAATTTGGATTAACCAATTAACCTATCCCCAACTAAGTGCATGTCTTTGGATTGTGGGAGGAAGCCGGACTACCCGGAGAGAACCCACGCAAACACGGGGAGAACATGCAAACTCCGTTTGTACCATTTTTTACAATTCTGTGACACAGAAATGGGAGGTCATTTGTGCACAGCTCTACCAAAAGGGTGTTTCTTATGTTTATTCTAAATAGGTGACTGTAGAATATTTTTCTTTTGCACAGTGTTGTAGAATTACAAACAGCCCACACAGTAAAAATGTGAAACATACATATTCAGTGTCTTGTACTCACTTATTTCC